AGTAGGGTTGAGGGGGAAATAAAAAAAAAGGGAAAGATGAAGGGGGGGGGGGGGGAGTTAAGGGGGAGGGGAGAAAAAAAGAAAGGGGGAGATGATTTAATTAAGAGTGTGGTAGTGAGCTCGTTGGGACGGCCGCACCGGGTCGTTGTTGTCGGGGCCGGATTCGCAGGGCTTGGTGGTGCGCTCGAGCTGCAGAAATTGGGCATAGAAGTTATAGTGGGGGAGGTGAGCGGGAGGAGGGGGGGGGGGTGCAGAGTATAATTTGTTTTTTGGGGGGGGGACATTGGACGTGCACGTCGATGTAGGATACGGTTACCCTTCGGATTTGTGGTCTGACTAGTGTCCGCGTGGTGGTGTCGAAGACGTGTGTACCGGAGACCTCGTCCCACCTTGTAACACGGTTCTTCTCATGTATGACCGCGATTAACTCGTGTCCTATTCGATGCCGACCTGCTTCGAGAGAGAAGGAACCCCTTTTTTTGGCAGTCTCTCTTCTCGCAAGCGTGGAAATGCACACGCGTGACACTACTTTCGTCGCCCTGTACACGGGAGTTACGCGCACCAAAGTTATCTGCCGTTGTATGTTTTGATGTTCTGGCGCCAGTATACTGCGCTGTTCGCTACTCGTAGCCAGCACCAGCAGAGACAATACTAAAGTGCACCTCGCAAACACAGAGACACTCTGGCCTCCACTCGTACCGTCTGCCGACCCGCGGCCACGTGGTGGACTCTGACAACAGGCGAGGCAGAGGGTCGGTGGCCGCTGCTACACGAAGCGCTGGATCTCGAGCGGGGTCAAGCCCCCGGAACGCCCGCCGCCGCCCCCGCCATCGACGAAGGGCCCGCGGGTTGCTCGGAGGGAGGCAGCGGCGGCGGCGGCGGCGGAAAAGGCGGCGATGGAAAAAGCAGCGGCGGCGGAAAAAGCGGCGGCGGGGGGAACGGCGGCGGGGGGAAAAGAAGCGACGGGGGGAAAGGCGGCGGCGGAAAAAGAGTCGGCGGCGGAAAAGGTGGCGGAAAAGGTGCCGGAAACGGGGGGACGAGAGCTGACCGCTGGCGCTACCAGCACTCCACCAGCACCTGGCTCTGCTGCCGCCGCTGCCGCCGCCACCACCGCTCCAGACTCCGAGAAGAACGGCGCAGCGGCCGAAGGGGGCTCCGCCGCTGCCACTGGCCCCCCACCCCCCGCTCCCAGGACGGCGCCGTCCACTTCCGCTGCAGAGGCCGCCCTCGCCGAAACCGAGCCCACACCGGGCACTGGTGCGTCGGGGGCGGGGGCTACGTCAGATGCAGGCGGGGCCGGGGGCGATGCGGGGAAGGGAGGGTCTCAGGGAGGCGAGGACGGCCGTAGCGATGATGACAGTGACGACGAGTTCGCCATCGACAAGCCGTCCGCGCCGCCGCGACCGGGGGCCGCCGCGCCGGGGGCGGGGGCGGATGCCGTCGCGCCCGCCGGCAAGGGTTCCGCGGCAGGGAAGGAGGCCGCGGCGGCTACTCCCGTGCCTGCGGCTGGTGCTGCTGCTGCTGCTGCTGGTGATAGCGTCGGCGAAGAGAAGGAGGGGGAGAAGGAGAAGGAGGGGGAGAAAGAGAAGGAGGGGGAGAAAGAGAAGGAGAAGGAGAAAGAGAAGGAGAAGGAGCTAGTCACGCCCATGCAGGAGGACGACGAGGAGATTGAGGTGTTGGAGGTTGTGAACCCGACCAAGAAGTTCGTTCCGGACAAGATGGTACGCACATGCCGTTGTTTCTGCTCCATCGTTTGCCGTGTGCCGGTTTGTCGTTGTAATTGCTGTTGCCGCTGCCGACGCTGCTGTTGCGTTAGCACCAAACCCTGTCCATTGTTTCTTGCTTCTGTTGTGTCGTTTTGCTGCTGATTCCGCTGTTGTGTTGAAACCAGACCCTGTTCTGACTTCTATGAAGCACCTCCGCCGCTTCTCTTCTGTGATGACGACGTTTGCTTAGTTTTTTTGCGGCTTATTTTCCTGCTACGTATCTGCCGCGTCGCTCGTCGCCCCCTTTACGTATTTATTCCCAATTGTGTTAATCTTTTTGTGGGTGTTCATTGTTAGCATCGACGGCGCTATCCGAATGAACCCTGAAAAAACGCCTAGATAATTTCGTCGAGGCTGAAAAACGCAAGTGTTTCTAAAGGCCATGGTCTGTGTGCGAGCGTGTGTTTTTATCGTTGGCATCGACCGCGCTACCGGGCTGACCAACGAGAACACGTTGGTCTCAGTGCAGTAAAAAACACGAGCGCTGCGGTGTGTGCGTGTCTTTTTCGTTCTCAAAAAAGGTGAGCGTCGACATGGGCGCGGCCTGGATCCACGGCACGACCAAGAACCCGATCACGGCGCTGTGCGAGAAGTTCTCGCTCGGTCTCTTCAACACTGGCAGCCCGACCGTCATGGTCGATCACGACGGCCGGTGAGAGAAGAGTGGATCTCCGGCTCTCTGGCCAGTAGCCTTGGCAGGTTTTTTATTGTATTCAGCAAACATGTCGGATAAAGCAGATTGTACAATCGAGAAAGTTGGGTTAGGGTTTACGGTTAGGGAATACGGTCTGCGTCCCCCCTCCCTGTTCTATTTCCTCGTGATTCTTTATTTCCCGCGAAGGCGGTCCTCTCCGGCAAGGAGGAGTTGCCGTAAACGACACAAGATAACACACCCCCTGGACCGAGTTTTAAATCTCGATTTCATCAACAGCAGAAAGAGTCACTGCGCCGAAAACGGTGGCACTGAAGCTGTCTCGTCCGGAGCTTCCGAAAATGTGTTGTTTCATCCTATTCGTCGTGGCGTAATCGAACTTTGAAAATTGGTCCAGGGGGTGTGTTTTCTTGTGTCATATACGGTACCTCGGGCGTGGTGACCTCGGATGCCGTGGTCTGTGTAGTCAGCTAAGAACGTACCAGTGGTTTCGATCCCCCCCCCCTCCCCACATAAGAAGTGGGTTCAAAAGGCGGGAAGTGATATCGGTAGGGTAGATAGACTAGGGAAGGCATTTTTGAGCCACCTCTGGCAAAGTAGGAAGGAGCCATTGGCCATCGGTGATCGGTCCTGTGGGAACAATGCTCCGTCCTCTCGAGGACGCGTGGTCAATGGTCTATCCGCTAAGGCATGCAAAACATATGAGTACGCCCCCCCCCCCCCCAGTGATCGGTCCTGTGGCAACAATGCTCCCAAAAAGTGTGGGCCATGGTCTAAACGCATGCGAAACATGAAAATACCCCCCCCCCCCCCTGGTGAGCTTTTACACCCCGTGGGGGGAGGGGAAGGGCCCAAACAAAGGGTGGGAAATTTTATTGCACCCTTAATTTTCCCCCTCCTTTCTTTGTGTTTTTTCCCCCCCCCCCTTTTTTTTCACATACACACCAAAAAAAAACCCTTGGTTTTTAAAAAAAAAAAAGGGGGCACGCTGCCCCCCCCTTTTTCCCCCTTTTTGACGCCCTGGTGATTCTGGTCTCCGTTCTTCAGGGGGGACTTTTTTTTCTGCTCTCCAGAAAAATTACCCCTCTACCCAAACCTGGACACCCCAAGAACCCCCCCCCCCCTTCCTTTGGGA